TAATTGTACGATAGTTAGAGAGGTCTAAGTGTTTTCTAGAGTTTTGAAAAATTGGAACCACTTATGCACTTTTTAAAAATTAAATATTATTAAATATTATATAATTAATAAGATTAATGTTAGACTTACTTTAGTGAGTCTGACATGTATAATTTGTAAAATGACATTGTTGAAGACTAACCGAAAATCTCTAGAACCTAACACCTGATATAAGATACAAGATTTAGTAAACTGAGAATAACAGAGCTTAACATCAGACAGGACCTCTTTTTTGGCTTCTTAGAATAATAAAAGGATATTTGTTCTTAAGAGAGATGTTCTTGTAAAAAAGATAAAATAAATGATTAATAAAGCAACTGCTCATGATGGTGAAAAAATATGGAGTAGAATGAGGTTTGACTTAAAGAGTAGGAATAAAAGCTTCTGAGATGCGCTTTATAGATACATATTATGGATATAAACAAATATGTTTACTATTTATTTAGATGCTGGCATACAATATCCTTTCATATTTATATAAAATTTAGTATTTATATGGTGTAGAAAAAAAGATGATGATGATGATGATGATGATGATGATGATGATGATGATGATGATGATGATGATGATAATGATGATGATGATGATCATAATTATGTTTATCTATGCATATATATATTTACAAAATATAACATGAAATTTGAATACAAAAATTATACTTTAGGATATATAAATGTTTATGCAGCCCCAATCGCAAACCCAGCCCCGGCTATATTTTATCAAACCCGGCTCTGGTCAAATATCAATCCCGGTCACTTACTATACAGAGATTACTAATAAATGAAGAGAAAGAACTCAAAATAAGACTAATATGCTATTTTTGCTAGTTGGTTGATAAAAATGCTGAGTGAGACTATATCTGTTTATAAAATGTAAAAAGAGATGTGTATAACAATATCTGGACCATGATAGTAGTGCCCATTTATATTAGGTAAGTTAAAATCTCCTAGTATGACCGTATTTTTTTTCGATGGAACACAACATAGAGAAACATTTTACCCTACTTTCAATAAAGTCAATAGTTTCTTAACCAAAACCCCCACTGCAATAATAACCAATAGTTCTGAACAACTGACCATTAAGGTTTAAATCAGCACAGACAATTTCTAACTCATGAAACTCTGGTGGTATATCAACTTTTACAAATTCTATAAAACTGCAAAAAAATATTGGTACTACACCACCTTTACAACTTCTGTCACAGGGAAGAGCATTTTAAAACCTAGAACATAATAGACTCTCAGGTAAATTTTTATATAACCAAGTTTGGATAACACAAAGTATTTGAAATCAGCAATTTTATTACCTAGACTGCGAATGTTATTAAGTTCCCATTTCCCAGAGTAATTGGTTTTTGGATGGTTAATTAACTCTTTTTAATTTTTAAATTTATAAGTTGCTTTAAGTTGTTCTTTTCAATCAACTTGTTCAAGTTTTTAAAGAGATTTTTTGGAAACATTAGCTGATCTGGTTGACTTAATATGAATTGCTATCTTTTTATAAATTTTACAATATGTTCATTTCTAATTCCGTAATAGTATTATGAATCTTTATTAGCATCACTAAATTTAGCACACTTCAGTTCTTCAAATCATTCACTAATATTATCAGTTGACTAATTTCTTTATCCTTTGCTAAAAATTCTGCTTACAATTTTAATAATCACTTCAAAGTGGAATAGCTTCAAAGTCTTATCATTTTCTTATCATTTTTTTTATCATTTATCTTTTCTTATCATTTTTTAACGTTACTATTAGTCAACTGAATAATTACTTTCAATTTGGACAAAAAGCTAAAGTTATAATATTTTTTACAAAACTTAGGCTGCCATTTTTAAAAGCAACAAAAATATCATTATCTATTTGCTCTTTATTCATGCTTGGTCTGGATATGACGCAGCATCTGCAATATTTAGAAAAGGAAAAATAAGCTTTTTTAATTTAGTGAAAAAATCCAAGGTTATTAGTTATTGCGAAGTCTATAAGTGATTATTAGGCAAATTAATCTAAGGTAGGTGAAAATTTAATAGAAATATTTAAAGTTGTATGGTAGAAGCAACAAGAAAATTTTACAAAGTTGAGGTTATTTTATAATTATATTTACCAGGTACTCAATTAGACTTTTTAAATTTGTGAAACTCTTATGAAATTGAGCAAACATTTATTGAACTTTCTATAGAAATTGGTATGAAAAATAAATTTTGAATATACTTCTATATAGATACACAAAATACCTTGATATGATATGTAATGGAGTTTTAGAGTCAAAAAAGATGCCATCAATTGAATAAGCAGTATGTTTCCATGGACTTCATGTGTATTTGCAAATAATTACCTGAAAGCTACTTGACAATAATTTGAATTTAAAACCAGAAGAACGAGCCTGGACAAATAAAAACTATTATTAGTTATACATTGTAAATGTAAAAGAATCAAGTTGGAATGAATCTCTGTACATGTTGGGAACATGTAATTAAATGCGCCAATGCTTGCTTGAGTTGTCAAGTTATCAAGAGAGAGCTGCAATAATGAAATACTTTAAAATAAACAAACTTTAAAATAAATGCTTCATGTTGTATTAGATTCCTTTGTTGAATATTACTTTATATAATATTTGTGATGTTTTTATTTTCTACCGGAACAACTCGGTTGGAGTTATCATTAAAAATTTAGATAGTAAAATATTCGATGATTTAGTTTAATTGAAAATTTTTCAAGCATTTTGTTTGCTTTACCTAATTTAAAATTTTCCACACAGCGCTGTACTACATACACCATTTCACTTTAATGCATATTCTCAAACTAAAACTAGCTTACAATACATGTAATACAAAAGCGATGATTAGTTAAATGAATTTTTAAGTTAGAAAACTGCAAGGAATCATGTGATAACCTTAAAATTGTGAAGATTGTGAGCGAACATTTAACAAATTAAAAATTTTTTTTATAAAAATTTCACTTTGATGGTGGATTAAAATGATGCATTTAGATTCCATAAAATTAGGAAACCTTAAAATACTAACATAAGACACCTATCCCTTATAATCATTTATAATTAATGTTTAATTTAATGCCGATGCTGCTAATATTCATTTGTGCATGTTTGACAGAGTTTTTTAAAGAAGATTAATTATGTTTGGCTCACAATATTTCACTTAAAATTTTTGACTACGCGATAAGGTATTCTCAAATTTTTATTATCTACATTATGATCTTTTATGGTCTGTTTAATCAGCTATAATAAGATCTAAAACATCTACAAAGATAATTTGATGCAATCATAAATTCTGCAGTAAGAAACCTTATGTTATTTTAAAATTAATAAAGTAACTTTTAAAGTCAAATAATTCATTTTAATAGTAACACTATATATGTATATATATATATATATATATATATATATATATATATATATATATATATATATATATATATATATATATATATATATATATATATATATATATATATATATATATATATATATATATATATATATATAATATATATATATATATATATATATATAAATATATATATATATATATATATATATATATATATATATATATATATATATACATATCAACCCTCAGAATAAGGGTTGGAATTCAACAATGCCGACCTAACTGCTAACCTGAAAGTGTTTGAGGTCAGCGAAAAATTGCTGACCTCCTTTTTATGTTTTATGGTCAGACCATTGTTTTAAATAAGATTTGCTGACCTCAGAAAAATTGAGGTTGGCAAATTATTGTCGACCTCATTTTTCCTAATTACGAGGGTTGATATATATATATATATATATATATATATATATATATATATATATATATATATATATATATATATATATATATATATACACACTTACTAAAGCGTGTTTTGATAAGCATTTGCTCACTTTTTCTACTTACCTTAAGCTATACCGTTTTTTTCGAAAAAGAAGACGAAAAAACAAAGAATGATGAATAAAACAATTGCTTCCCCATCCCAAACTGTTAGTTATTGAAATATGTACAATATTTAGTTACTGTTAGTTATTGAAATATGTACAATAAATTATGGATAACTCAATAACCCTAAATAACATTAACTAATTTTAAAATTCCAGTTAAGCCTTTGTTTATAGATTATACTCCCAATAACTCTAACATTCTCTAACAAGCTATTTTCTCAGCTCCTTGAAGGTTTGAGTTGTTGAGAGTTAATTGTGATATGTTATGCTACTTGTTAATTTTGTGATGTTATTTTTGTGTTGTTTTGTGTTGATAGATGACTTGGCTCACTTTCATGTTGGTGTCTATAGTTAAAAATAATTATTGGGTAGTTTCATGACTGAAACTAACTACATAAAATCATTCACTAAAAACTTCAAACAGATAGAGCTAACTTATTTGAGATAACTAGGTCTATTTAGTCCGAATTCTGTGCACATTATTGCTTTTTAAATAAATTTTAATGAGAGGGTTCAAATTTTATTAAAGCCTAAGTTTCCAAAAACACCTGAAGAAATGTTACCCAACTATCTTCTATGTTAAACATACTTTATGTTAAAAAAAATGAAGTAAATAAGTACAGTAAATTATTTATAAATTAGCTAAGAACATTAAATTGATTTTTTTTGCCATTTACTAAAATGTATTAAAGTATAGTGACCAAATTAAGAACAAGTTTAGAAATAGTCAGGTGTGGAACAGACTTCCAATGACCTGTATTGTACAGGTCTTGACAGCTAGTTTAGTATGAATTTACAAGTTATGAATTTCCTCATTCTATAAAAAGCTATTTCTATATACTTTTTAATAAAGTTTCAAAGATGTACAACATACAAAGATCTTAAATAAAGTTTGTACTTATTAATTTTAATTATGAACTACTATAATTATTACTAATTAAACTTTTTTATGAAGCAAACAAGATATATTAAAATATTACAGACAAGTACAGAAAGCGAAAAGTACCTTGATTACTGCATGATATAACATCAGTACTATTTCCGAAGCAATTTAGCCAATCATTATTGTTACAAATGCGAGTTCTTTGCATTAGACCAGAGTCATTACAATTTGACCACTCACTCCATAGTGACCATATAGCTAAAAAATAAGAGTCAGGGTGACAACATCAGTTTTTGCTATGTCTAATAATATTTTTCCAATAAAATCTGTAAACATAATTAGTATAAACACATCTGTCCAACAACATTTGTAAATACACTGAGGTATAATAATATCTGTCCAACAACATCTGAAATTTTATTGATGTTTAATAACATTTTTTTAAAAGTATATGATTATTACAGATGTATAGTTACAACTTTCAATTACCTAAGTATAACAACATCTGTGCAACTACATCAGGAAATTTTACAGATATAGTTACATTTTTTCAACAATGTTAAGAATAACTACATCTGTACAACTAAATCTGTGAATTCTACAGATATAATTACATCTTTTCAATTATATTAAATATAACTACAGAATTTTATAAAACTTATAAAATATAATGCATTAATTTAACCAGATGTAGTTACATATATGGCTTTTTTTCAGATGTAGTTACACCTGAAAAAATTATTAAATAATAATGCATTGTTTTAACCAGATCTAGTATCATATATGGTTTTTTTCAGATGTAGTTACATCTGGAAAAAATTATTAAATAACAATGCATTATTTTAACCAGATGTAGTTTTAATATATGGTTTTTTACAGATGTAGTTACATCTGAAAAAATTAATAAACATAAATGCATTATTTTAACCAGATGTAGTTACATAAAAGATTTTGTTCAGATGTAATTACGTCTGGAGGAAATGCTTCCAGATGTTATTGGACTTGGAGAAAATTACCAGATGTAGTTACATCTTCCTAAAAATGTTGCTAGGGGTCATTGAATTTCGAGATGATATTGGACATATGTTGTTTGAATACAGAAAAAAATCAGATGATCTCGAACAAAAGTGTACAGATAATCTTGGACTACTCTGCAGATGTAGTAATCTTTTAAAAAAACTAATCATTAAAAATAAAAGTAAAACTAGGAAATAACATAATATTTACTTAATTTTTTTTTAAAATTATTAAATTTGGAGTTTAATAAGAAAATAATCTGATAAATTTATGGATTCAAAAAGACTCTCTTTAGAAAGTAATAAAACATGTTTAGATGATCAATATATATATATATATATATATATATATATATATATATATATATATATATATATATATATATATATATATATATATATATATATATATATATATATATATATATATATATATATATATATATATATATATATATATATATATATTTATATTTATATTTATATATATATATACATATATATATATATATATATATATATATATATATATAGATATAGATATATATATATATATATATGTATATATACATACATATATATACATATATATATATATATATATATATATATATACATACATATATATATATATATATATATATATATATATATATATATATATATATATATATATATATATATATATATATATATATATATATATATATATATATATATATATATATATATATATATATATATATATATAGATATAGATATAGATATATATATATATATATATATATATATATATATATATATATATATATATATATATATATATATATATATATATATATATATATATATATATATATATATATATATATATATATATATATATGTTAGGGTGGTCCAGATTTGTGTGGTGAAAATTCAAAGTGTGTCTAGATTCTCTCCACAAGCCTAACTTTGTTCCACTATGCTTAGGGAATAACCATACAAAAAATTGGACCAATCTGAACAGTTTTAGGGGTCGCTATGATTTCAACATTTTTTAGACGGTACTCGATTTTTACGAATTTTTGTGTAAGTTTTGCATAATTGAACATCTATCTCAACATTGTGGTAAATAAATAAATGCTTGCTGAAAAGCAGATGCTATATAAATTCATTTATATATTTAATATCTTTTAGTTGTCTATTGTCACATGATTTGGCGGCCATCTTGTAATAAGCACATGTCTGCAGTATTTCAATAAAAATTTTATAAGGATTGTTTTTTTTATTTCTGGTAACAAATATTCTTATACTTATATTTTATATATATATTTATTATATAGTTAATATAATGAATTACAAATAAATTATTATTAAATTAAATAGTTTTCAAAAAGAATATGCTATAAAAATTCATTTATATATCTAATATCTTTTATCAATTGTCACATGATTAAGTGACCATCTTGTATTAAGCACATGTCTGCAATATTTCAAAACAAATTATGTTTTTCAATAATGTTTTTTCATTTCTGTTAATAATATAAAGTACTAAATATTATTTATATAAAATTAAATAGTTGAAGAACAAAGAATCATTTCAACTTAAACTTCTGCAGGTAATTAATAAAAAATAAAAATATATATTACACCACTTATGGCAGTTACTACAAGAAGCTCTGCAGAGGTATGGCTCATTGGGAAAGCATCTAAGCAGCTCTCCTCGTCAAGATTGGCAACAAATGGAGATGTCCTCCGGTGTCTCCTCTTTCATCATCTGGAAGAGCATCTCACAATAAAGGACAGCATTCACCATACGATTCAAGAGCTGATTGTTATGTGGAATAAGGCAAGAATCCCAACACAAAGAATTGATTCTGGTGAAAGAAAACTTCAGAATTTATACGATTCCTATCTGCTCCTAAAAAAGAATTGAACTACAGACCTGGAAAGCAGTAGAACTAAAGAACAGATGTTCAAAGACACAATTTACGAGCTTTTTGACTTGGCAACTAAAACCGCAATGGAGACAATAACCATTGCTGAAGATAGGCAATTTCTTGCAATGCAGCGAGAAGATGTTACCAGCTGCAGCATGGCTGGAATTGATAAGAACTTACTGGCAAAGGAAGCCCGGAAGAAAGCTCGAGATCAAGCATATGATGCAAGGTTATCAAAACAGCAACACTCCAGTGGTCATCTTGATCCTGTCTCAGCCAACATCAGCAGCTCAGAAGACAGTCAAGACAGCGATGACGACCCAAGTTTTGAGATTCTGTCTTCTGCATCGCAATCTGTTTTTTCTACACCAAAGCCAAAGCGTCTGAAGAGTATTGTTTCCAGCCTGGAAGTTGCTGGAGCTTTGGACAGAGTTAACCTTCCAGATCGCAAAGCTATGTTTGTTGTCGCTTCAGTGGCTAAGGCACTGGGACATCCTCTTGCAGACTTAACTCTGTCTTGAAGTACAATCAGGAGATCTCGAATGTCTACCCGTAAACACGTGACTCAGAATGACAAAGACAACTTTTCCATTGAATTTCCTTTGCTTCTACACTGGGATGGGAAACTGCTTCCAGATATCACCAGTTCAAAAGAAACCGTGGACCGAATTGCAGTGATTGTAACTGGAAATGGTTTGAAGAAATTGCTAGCAGTTCCAAAAATTGGAAGAGGAACAGGAGAGGAACGAGCAGCAGCTTGCTTAAAGATCTTGGATGATTGAAAAATTCGAGACAAACTTCAGGGTTTAGTCTTTGACACAACCTCGTCCAACACAGGTATCCACAAAGGAGCTTGTGTTCTCAACGAGAAAGCAGTTGGTTGTGATCTTGTAAATATTGGTTGCCGCCACCATGTTCTAGAGGTCATTCTGAGCAATGTCTTTACAGCTCTCTTTGGTGGAACAGGGGGACCTGAGGTTGGCTTGTTCAAACGGTTTCAGAAGAAGTGGCCATATATTCAGCAAGCGAGATTCTATCCAGCTAAAGATGAGCTCTTCATCGGAGATATGGAAATCCTTCGAAAGGAAATGGTAGCATTCTACACCAGAGCCATCGACGAAAAACAACCTAGGGAAGATTATCTTGAACTACTTCGGTTATGCCTGGTCTTTCTAGGGGGAGGCTCTGTTGGTGCTGAGATAAAATTTCGAGCTCCAGGAGCGATACATCATGCTCGATGGATGTCAAAGGCCATCTACGCTCTGAAAATGGTACTATTTCAAGATCAGCTCACTCTGACTGTTCGAGAGAAGAAAGGTCTAGTAGAGCTTGCATTGTTTGTGGCATTAATTTACGGACGTTTTTGGCACGAAGCTCCACTGGCTGCAAATGCTCCGTTTAATGATGCTCAAATGCTGAAACAGTTCCAAAAGTATCCAAACCGCACAATCGCCGATGCAGCTTTTACTGCATTTTCTCGACACCTTTGGTTCTTCTCGGAACATCTTATAGGTCTGGCATTTTTTGATAGTCGCGTTGATCTGGATGTGAAGAGGGCCATGGTGGTTAACCTATAACTGCCCAAGACAACTCTAGCACTGAAGAGAGTAGATTCCAAGAATACCGACTTCAACAGACTAGAGACATTCGTGACTATGAGAACCTATAGTTTATTCGAGTTGTTGAGCAGTACAGGGAGAGAGGAGGCCAGAAACTTCATTTCAAAAGATCCTAAATATTGGGAGGACGATGAATCATATCAGAAGTTGGCAGAGAGAGTCCAAAGAATGAAAGTTGTTAATGACAGCGCAGAACGTGGAATTGCATTAATTGGACAGTACAACGAATCGATTACAAAGGATGAAGAACAAAAGCAGTTCCTACTTCGTTTTGTTCAACGTCACCGCCAGCTATACCCTACTTCATCCAAGGCAGCCATGTTGGCGATAGATGACGAAATCGTTGATTAATAAACATACATTTTTCAACATATTCACAATACTCTTGATATTACAGTTTTTTGTTTAAAAATTACGAAAGTTACGAAACGTTGATATACTTTAATAAAAATTGATCAATTGATTATCTATATTCATTAGATACTCTACAGGCATTCTATTTACCTGATTTAAATTGTTAGTGGCATTAATTTTTAAATTCGATATTATATTTATAGTGAAAACTTAAATTTTTTGATTTTTTTATCATTGTGGTCAAAAGGTCAAAATTTATAGCAACCCCTAAATATTATCCGATTTGCTTCAAATTTGGCTACAATATTGCAAATATTAATAGGAACAAAGGCAGCCTTGTGGAGAAA